TGTTTCTCTAATATCCAGCACCCCGTGCACCTTGTGTCTGTGCTTGGGTGCAAATATTTCTAGAGCTGGTTGTTTAGTAGTCCTGGGCTTTCACTCTCTCCCTATTGTGACTCCTTTCTTCCTGACGGGTTTTCAGTCAGGGGAGCGTTCGTGTCCCGCCTGGCCACAGCTTGTATCTTACTGCCTTTGTGTGATGTTGAGTTCTTGCAGGTGTATATGTATACTGGCTGTTGTACTGCATCCACTGGTGTCTCTTTTAGGAATAGTTGTATTTATTGTATTTTCATAAATATATATGTTTTGGGGAGGAGATTTCCTCTGAACGACTCATGCCACCATCTTCCCATGATCTGATGGTGTCCTTCTTGGTAAGTATTTGAGTACCAGTTTCTGTTTCTTTTTAGTATTTACTTAGAGTAGATTTGCTGAGTTAAATGGTAATTATATATTTAAGTCTTGAGGAACCAACTTTTTTCTGTGTTTATTTGTTTTAATAGAGTTTTAGATGTGTCATTTTGGTCAGGTTGGTTACATCTTCTTTATCTTCAATTTTTTGCCTTCCTTCTTTCAGGTAGTGTGGTTGGAATATTGAAATCTCTTAACTTTAATTGTTGAATTGTTTAATTTTCTTTTTGGTTTTGTTAGGTGTGGCCATTATATCTGTTTTAGAATCTGTTTCATTTCCATTCAAAACAGGTATATTTTTCTGATTGTCCCATCATCATGAATAGTACTTTGTGTCTGGTACAACTCTCTTGTCTTACAGTTTCTTTATGTGTAATTAATTTGCTCTGCTCTTGTATGATTTAATTTGAATAGGTTTCCTTTTTCCAGTCTTTTATTTGAACCAAGGTTACAGACAACCTGTAGTTGGATTTCCCACAAATCTAGTCTGGTGTCTGACTTTTGTTTGGAATGTGTAGACCATTCACTTTTATTTTAACTTAATGATAAAACTGGAAATATCCTTCCACTTTCCTTCCCATATATCTTATTTTTTGGTATTAAATTCCTATTACTTTCTGTGTATCAGTTAATTCCTTTGTTGGATGTTTTTAGCTATATCATTTTAATAATTCAAAACTGTAACTTAGTGCTTTAAGACCTTGGAAAATGTGTGATTGTGCCACTGGTTTTTGGCATCTTCATCCCTAAAACTCCAAAAAGCTCCCCCAGTTATTACTATTTTTAAAATTTTGGTATTGTTAATATAAAATCACATGAGCAACATTGTGGTTTCTAGATTCTCTCTATTATCAAGTCTCCACTACATACCCCATTACAGTCACTGTCCATCAGCATAGTAAGATGCTTTAATAGGAGTCACTACTTCTCTTCTCTTTGCTATACTGCCTTCCCCGTGCCCCGCTGCTATGTTAATCGTAATGCCCTTTATTCCCCTTCTCCTTTCCTTCTCACCCACCCTCCTCAGTCTCTTTCCCTTTGGTAACTGTTAGTCCATTCTTGGGTTCTGTGAGTCTTCTGCTGTTTTGTTCCTTCAGTTTTTGCTTTATTCTTAGGCTGCACAGATGTGTGAAATCATTTGGTACATGTCTTTCTCCACCTGGCTTATTTCACTGAGCATAATACCCTCTAGTGCCATCCATGTTGTTGCAAATGGTAGGATTTGTTTTCTTCTTATGGCTGAATAATATTTCATTGTGTATATGTACCACATCTTTATCTATTCATCTACTGATGGACACTTAGTTTGCTTCCATTTCTTGGCTATTGTAAATAGTGCTGCGATAAACATAGGGATGCATCTACCTTTTTAAAACTGGGCTGCTGCATTTTTAGGGTATATTCCTAGAAGTGGAATTTCTGGGTCAAATGGTATGTCTATTTTGAGGTTTTCGAGGAATGTCCATACTGCTTTCCACAATGGTTGAACTGATTTACATTCCCACCAGCAGTGTAGGAAGGTTCCCTTTTCTCTGCATCCTCTCCAGCATTTGTTGTTCCTAGTCTTTCTATGTTGGCCATCCTAACTGGTGTGAGGTGATAATCTTATTGTTGTTTTAAATTGCATTTCCCTGATAATTAGCAACGTGGAGCATCTTTTCATGTGCCCATTAGCCATCTGAATTTCTTCTGTGGAGAAGTGTCTGTTCATATCCTCCACCCACTTTTTAATAGGGTTATTTGCTTTTTGGGTGTTGAGGTGTGTTAGTTTCTTTATATATTCTGGATGTTAATCCCTTGTCAGATATGTCATTTACAAATATATTTTCCCATTCTGTAGGATGCCTTTTTGTTCTGCTGATGGTGCCCTTTGGTGTACAGAAACTTTTTAGCATGATGTCCCATTTGTTCATTTTTGCTTTTGTTTCCTTGCCTGAGGAGATGCTTTCAGGAAAAAGTTGCTCATGTTTATATTCAAAAGATGTTTGCCTATGTTTTCTTCTAAGAGTTTTATGGTTTCATGACTCACATTCAGGTCTTTCATCCACTTCTAGTTTACTTTTGTGTATGGGGTTAGACAATAATCCAGTCTCATTCTCTGGCATATAGCTGTCCAGTTTTGCCAACACCAGTTGCTGAAGAGGCTATCTTTTCCCCATTGTATATCTATGGCTCCTTTATCATACATTAATTGACCATATATGCTTGGTTTTATAACTGGGCTCTCTAGTCTGTTCCACTTGTCTGTGAGTCTGTTCTTGTGCCAGTACCAAATTGTTTTGATTACTGTGGCTTAGCAGTTGAGCTTGAAGTTGGAGTTCCTAGTGCCCCCTCCTTTATTCTTCCTTCTCAGTATTGCTTTGGCTATTCAGGGTCTTTTGTGGTTCCATGTGAATTTTAGAACTATTTTCTCTAGTTCCTTCAAGAATGCTGTTGGTATTTTGATAGCCATTACATTGAATATGTGGATTGCTTTAGGCAGAATGTCCATGGCTATTTTGACAATATTAATTCTTCCTCTCTGTGAGCATGGAATATTTTTCCATTTATTGTATCTTCTTCAATTTCTCTCATGGCTGTCTTGCAGTTTTCAGAGAATAGGTCTTTTGAGCAGTTACTTTTTATTGTCCAGTACCCTGTGACTGATAATTTCTATTGTTTTTTATGTCACTGGATTGTTTATTCTGGACATTTCTATAAGTGGAGTCATATGACATGTGACTGTTTGTGACTGTCGTCTTTGACTTATTTAGCATAATGCTTTCAAGGTTCATACATCTTGCAGCATGCATCAATATGTTTTTCCTGTCTATAGCTGGATACTGTTCTGTTATATGGATGTATCACATTGTTTATTCATTTGTTAAAGGACATTGGATTATGTTCACTTTTTGCATAATATGAATAGTGCTGTGCTTTTAATGATTATTGTCTCTGAAGGAGACTTAAAATTTTTTTTCTTGTATGGTGAGCCTGCTGTCAGTTCTGAACCTTTTGAATATCTCATTTGACTCTCTTCTCACCATCAGTGTTTATGATGTGAGGTCAGCCAGTAGTAAGATATTCCCTCAGCATAGTAACTCATTTTTCTGTTGTTGCTTTCAAGATGTTCATTTTGTTTGATTGTCAACATTTTGCCTATAGATTTTTCTTGGTGTGATTGTCTTTATTTTTAGCTCTATTTGAACTTTTTTGTAAGCTCTTGAATCTATAACTTACCTTGAAGAGTCAAAGTTGGGAAGTGTTCCATGGTAATTGTTTCAAATATTTTCATGCCACTTTGTCTGGTTTCCTGGACCCCCTTTACATTTAGATGGTAGTATTTGACATTTCAAACTAATTAAAGGTTTATTAAAAATGTGCATATAACTTTTAAGGGTCAACTTCATTGTTCTTAAAGTTAAAAAATTCTGCTATAGCTCAGTAATTTTAAGGAAATCTCTAATTATAAAACTCAGCAGTAAGTTTTGTATGGTGTTTTATAATCATGCAGCATGTATAAATAAAAAACCTTTAATAAAAGAGTATCTTGAAATTTTGTATCCAAATTATCATAATTTCTGAGACTTAAGAATAGATTTAGACTTTTGATTATTTTCAGTTATGCTAACTTGGTACCTTGTGAATATTTAGGTAAGAGCAGAATAGACTTGCTGGAGGCATAATACAGTCATCCCAGAATAACTTTATTCATGGTAGATCTTTAAATTTATTTTCCAGTATTTGTGTTCTGCTTTTAAATGTATTGAAAAAATATTTTGTGTATGTTCTTCAGTGAAGGAGACTGTATTTCATAAGATGGGGGAAAAAATTAGGCATTTTATTGGGACTTTATCTTAAAGCACTGGCAGTTGCATGCCCAAGCAGGCAAGTTGTGATGGGAAAGACCTCAAAAGACCAAAGAAAGACCTGGAGATGCCATATGAGACATTATTGGAACTTACATATAGGGAGTCCAGGAATGTCCAGCTGGAGGAGATTGCATATTGCTGTTGTGAACAGAGAGCAACTGCTTATATAGGTTGAGGAGACAGAGATGACATGTGGCAGAGCTGAAGGGACAGCGACTACATCTCTTACAAGAAGGGATCATTCTTGGGCAACCAGCACCCCCCAGGAACAAAACCTTGGTCAGAGGGTGGGCCAGTATTTGGTATATACCATATACTTGGCATACAACCTGAAGGAACGGGACATGTGGACCCATGGCTGTTCTGGGACAAAAGGTGTGAGCGGGCAGCGCTTGTCTCCAAACACATTTGAATTTCCTGAAGAGGTGAGAGATTTTGATGATACCAAGAAATTATTTTTTCATGTGGGAATACTTGACCTTTAGTGCTTTTTCAAAGGATATTTGAAAAGAGTATTTCTGTACAAAGGAGTATTTCTAGTTTGTCAGTGTATGACTACAGTGTATGGTAGTCTAATAAAAGTAGCAGTTTTTTACAAATTGAAACCTGTGTCTGTGGTAGAAGTGACATATTGAATGCTTCATTTTCTTCAGTAATCTCACATAGTATATACATGCATTCTCTCAGAAAGGATGCACCTACTATTTTGCCTTTTTGTTAATGCTTCTATTTTTTCATTTCTAGGCTGTTCACTGCTATGAATCTTTAATCTTAAAAGCTGAAGGAAAAGTGGAGTCTGATTTCTTTTGTCAGTTAGGTCACTTCAACCTCCTATTAGAAGATTATCCAAAAGGTAATGTTCTTCTCTTTTAAAATTTTCCTTGATTTATGTTCATATCATATGCAGATGTAATTGCTTTTACTTTATATTATGGGCACTTGAATACTGTTTTATGGTTTCTTCTGGTAAGCTCATAAAAACACAAGCAATGAGAAAGTAGTGGACGTGAAAGTGTAAAAAATTTATGTAATTCCTTATAGGTATGTAATAAATTTAATTATTTCATAAAACATAAATGTGCACTGCTATTCTATTTTACTTACCTTTGGGATAACTGGTATTCTTCAAAACCTCATCAGCAAGCAGTTCTCCAATTCTCAGTGATGTTCTAAAATTTAACCCAGTTCTGACACTGTGTACTTAGAGAGAGCATTGATCCCACAGGTCCTATCTTTCTGCCCCAGTTCAGGTGCCAGTTGCAAATCCAGGTTGTCACTTGTGCTACTGATAAACCAGCTGTAAGACAGAGGGTAGTGGGTATGCTCATACCTCTTTGATTGTCAACATTTGTTAGGATGGCTCATAAAGCTAAGGGAAATAATTACCAATTGCATGACCAAAGTATTATCACATGCCCAAATGGTCTTGTTGTGATGGGAAAGCACTTAAAAGATCAAAGGAAAGACTCAGAGGCACCATATAACACTTAATACCGAGTTTATTGGGATTTGCAGCTGGCAGCCCCAGGAACAAAACCTTGGTCAGTGGGATCTGACTCCCAATAAGATATTTCCATAGATGAGGCAGGTCAGAATTTGGACAGACTATAATATACAGCCCCAGGTGATCAACATACACATAGTTGGCATACCGCCCATAGGAGATGGACTTGTGAACACGTTGTTCTGGGACATAGTGTTATGAGCAGGTGGTGCTTGTCTATACACTTTTGTATTATAAAGAATGTTACATTTGGATGAACAGCCAAGTGAAGAATTACAAAAGGTGAGGTTTAGAACTGTCCTGAGCTTAGGGGCTGTTATCCCTGAGGAACTGGTGAACTCAGAAGGGTGCCTCATGATTGCAGGAAGAGACAGTGCAATCTAGACTCAGGAAATTGTAAGTATATTAGAGGGCATGTGCCAGGAATGGAGAGAAAATATATTTATTATTATACAACAGGAACGGACATTTATTTTATTACTGATTTTCTTTAAAATTCTCCATTTTGGTTTGAAAATATTTGAAATCCTGTCTTTATTTTATTATACAGTAATACAGAGCATCTTCTCTAAATTTGGACCTTCATTTTTAAATGTTTTTTATTTTGGTATCATTAATATACAGTTACACGAGCAACACTGTGGTTACTAGATTCCTCTGATTATCAAGCCCCTACCACATCCCCATTACATTCACTGTTCGCCAGCATAGTAAGATGCTGTAGAATTGTGACTTGTCTTTTCTGTGTTATGCTGCTTTCCCCATGTCCCTCCTACCCCCACTTTATGTGTACTAATCATAATGCCCCTTGTTCCCATACCCCTTCTTTCCCACACATCCTCCCCAGTCCCTTTCCCTTTGGTAGCTTTTAGACCATTCTTTTTCTTTTTCTTTGTATCAATCTACAGTTACATGAGAAACATTATGGGCACTAGACTTCTCCCATCACCCAGTCTCCCCCACATACCTCATTACAGTCACTGTCAGCGTAGTAGGATGCTATAGAAACACTACTTGTCATCTCTGTGTTGTACAGCCTTCTCTATGCGCCCCCTTCATTATGTCTGCTAATCATAATGCCCCTTTTTCCCTGCTCTCCCGGCCTCCCTTCCACCCACCCTCCTGAGTCACTTTCCTTTTGGAAGTGAGATCTACCCTGTGAGATTCTTCATTCTCAGGACTGCTTAGGCTATTCGGGTTCCATATGAATTTTAGAATTATTCAAGTTTGTTGAAGAATGCTGTTGATATTTTTAAATTTTATTTATTTGTTTGTTTACTTATTTATTTTGGTATCATTAATGTACAATTATATGAGCAACATTATGGTTACTAGACTCAACCTATTATTAAGTCCCCATCACACACCCCATTACAATCACTGTCCATCCACATAGTAAGATGCTATAGAATCATTACTTGTCTTCTCTGTGTTACACTGCCTTCCCCATGTCTCCCCTTTAAATTATGTGTGCTAATGCTAATGCCCCATTTCCCCCCTTTTCCCTCCCTTCACACCCAACCTCCCCAGTCCTTCAGTTACTCCACAGATGAGTTAAATCATTTGATACTTGTCTTTCTGCTCTGGATTATTTCACTGAACATAATACCCTCTAGCTACATCCTTGTTGCAAGTGGTAGGATTGGTTTTCTTCTTATGGCTGAATAATACTCCATTGTGTATATATGTACCACATCTTTATTCATTCATCTACTGATGGACACTTAGTTTGCTTCCATTTCTTGGCTATTGCAAATAGTGCCATGATAAACGTAGCGGTGCTAATGTCTTTTTCAAACTGGGCTGCTGCATTCTTAGAGTAAATTTCTAAGAATGGAATTCCTGAGTCAAATGGTGTTTTTAGTTTTAGTTTTCTGAGGAACCTCCATACTGCTTTCCACAATGGTTGAACAAATGTACATTCCCACCAGCAGTACAGGACAGTTCCCGTTTCTCCAAATTCTCGCCAATGTTTGTTATTTGTCTTTTCATGCTAGTCATCCTAACTGGTGTGAGGTGATCACTTGTTGTGGTTTTAATTTGCAGTTCTATGAAGATTATTGATGTGCAGCATCTTATGTTGGCCATCTGATTTTCTTCTTTTGAAAAGTGTCTGTTTAGATCCTCTGTCCATTTTTTAATTGACTTATTTGCTTTTTGTTTGTTGAGGTGCGTGAGCTGAGCTCTTTATGTAATTTGGATGTCAATGCCTTATTGCATATGTCATTTATGAATACATTCCCCCAGACTGTAGGATGTCTTTTTGTTCTACTGATAGTGTCCTTTGCTGTACAGAAATTTTTTAGTTTGATATAATCCCATTTGTTCATTTTTGCTTTTGTTTCCCTTGCCTGGGGAGCTATGTTCATGAAGAAGTTACTCATGTTTATTTCCAAGAGATTAGAATTTTATCATTTCATGATTTATATTCCGGTCTTTGATCCATTTTGAGTTTACTTTTGAGTATGGGGTTAGACAATGATCCAGTTTCATTCTCTTACATGTTGCTGTCCAGTTTTGCCAACACCAGCTGTTGAAGAGGCTGTCATTTCCTCATTGTATATCATGTCTACTCTTTTGTGTATTAATTGACCATATATGTTGGTGTTAATATCTGGACTCTAGTCTTTCGGTCTGTTTTTGTGCCAGTATTAAATTGTCTTTGTTACTGTGGCTTTTTAGTAGAACTTGAAGTTGGAAAGCAAGATCTCCTCTGCTTTGTTCTTCCTTCTCAGGATTGCTTTGGCTATTCAGGGTCTTTTGTGGTTCCATATCTATTTTAATGCTATTTGTTCCAGTTTGCTGAAGAATTTGTCAGAATTTTGTTAGGGGTTACATTTAATCTGTAGAATGCTTTAGGCAGGATGGCCATTTTGACAATATTAATTCTTCCTAGAAAAGTGGGTGGGATGCATTTCCATTTGTTAATGACCTTTCATTTCTCTTAAGAGTGTCTTGTAGTTTTCAGGGTATAGGTCTTTCACTTCTTTGGTTTGTTTTATTTGTAGGTGTTTTATTCTTTTTGATGCTATTGTGAATAGAATTGTTTTCCTGATTTCTTTGGTGATAGTTCATCATTAGTATATTGGAAAGCAACAGATTTCTGTGTATTAATTTTGAACCCTGCAAGTTTGCTGAATTCAGATATTTGTTCTAGTAGTTTTGGAGTTGAGTCTTTAGGGTTTTTTTATGTACAATATCATGTCATCTGCACATAGTGACATTTTGAGTTCTTTACTAATCTGAATACTTTGTATTTTTTGTTTTGTCTGTCTGCCTTGGCTAGGACTTCCAGTACTGTGTTGAATAACAGTGGGGAGAGTGGCCATCCCTGTCTTGTTCCTGATCTTAGGTGAAAAGCTTTCAGCTTCTCGCTGTTAAGTATGATGTTGGCGGTGGGTTTGTCATATATGGCCTTTATTATGTTGATGTACTTGCCCTCTGTACCCATTTTGTTGACAGTTTTATTATGAATGAATGTTGAATTTTGTCGAATGCTTTTTCAGCATCTATGGAGATGATCATGTGGTTTTTGTCCTTGTTTTTGTTTATGTGATGGATGATGATGATGGATTTTCTAGTGTTGTACCATCCTTGCATCCCTGGGATAATCCCATCTAATCATGGTGTATGATTCTATTGATGTAGTTTTGAAATCAGTTTGTTAATATATTTTGTTGAGTATTTTTGCATCTGTGTTCATCAGGGATATTGGTCTGTATTTTTCCTTTTTTGTGGTGTCTGCTTGATTTTCGTATTAGAGTGATGCTGTCTTCATAGAATGTATTTGGAAGTATTACCTTCTTGTCTATTTATTGAAAAACTTTAAAGAGAATGTGTATTATGTGTGGTCTATATGTGATAAAATTCAGTGGTGAATCCATCTGGCCTGGGGGTTTTGTTCTTGGGTGGGTTTTTGATTACTGATTCAATTTCATTGCTGGTAATGGGTCTGTTAATGTTTTCTGTTTATTCCTTGGTCAGTCTTGAAAGGTTGTATTTTTCTAGGAAGTTGTCCATTTCTTCTAGATTTTCCAGCTCGTTAGCATATAGATTTTCATAGTATTCTCAAATAATTCTTTGTATTTTTGTGGGGTCTGTTGTCATTTTTCCTTTCTCTTTTCTGATTCTGTTTATGTGCTTAGATTCTCTTTTTCTCTTAATAAATCTGGCAAGCGTTTTATTTTTGTTTATTGTCTCAAAGAACCAGCTCTTGGTTTCATTGATTTTTTTTCTATTGTTTTATTCTGTTCCATTATATTTACTCTCTGATCTTTATTATGTCCCTCTTTCTGCTGACTCTGGCCTCATTTTTTTATCTTTTTCCTATTTCAATAGTTGTGACTTTA